TTGTTCGAAATTGTTTTGTTTTTTGTGTTTTCTTTTTTGTTTTTTTTTTTTTTGGTACCGGTGATAGAACTCTGGACCTTATACTTGCAAGGCAGGTGTCAGCACCACTGAGCTAAAGCCCCAGCCCAAGACCAAGATGTAGAGAAAAATCATTATTTATTAGAGAATAATGAATGGAAATTTTGCAATGTCACTGAACTGGCTCCCCCCCCCAAAAAAGAACAACAAAACATAAAAAAGCTATAGGTTTGCCTGACACAGTGGTGCACTTGTTAGGCTTAAGTGGGCAGGAGGATAGCAAGTTCGAGCCCAGGCTAGACAACTTAGTCTCAAAGTAAAATAAATAGGGCTGAGGATATAGTTCCATATAAAATCCTGGATTCAATCCACAGTAATGCCAAACAAAAACAAAACAAAATAAAAGTATAAGGCATGTTTTCTGTTACCCTTAGGGGAAAATAGTGTTACAAAATTTGATACTTTCTATTTACATTTTTAAGTATCTAGAAATATGGAGCTTGGGAAAAAGAAAATGGAAAAACAGAAGTAGAAGTTGAGAAGAGAGAAGTGGAAAAATATTGTGATTGCAGACTAAAATGATCAACTGATGATGTCTTGCATGAGAAGGCATTGACCAGGAGACCGGAGTTCTAACCCCAGCTTTGCCAGATGATTTTAGAAAATGTTTTTTTTGATACAAGCGATCAAACTCAGATCCTTGCGCTTGCGAGGCAGGCGATGGAACCACTGAGCTAAATCCCCAGCCCAATTTTAGAAAATTTTAATGGGGACCATAGTTTATTTAAATCTTAGTAAGTGTCAGTCCCTGTGTCAAATGCTTTTTAGCCTCTCAAACTTTAATAGCTACTATTATTGCTATTTTGATATTATAAATAAGGCATTTGAGACTCACAAAAATTAAGGAAATTTCTCAAAGTCATATAACCCAAGCAAGAAAAGATGTCTATACCCGATTTTAAACACCATGCTACTTTTAATACATAACACTGTCTTTCAACTAATCTCACTCTGAGATCAATTTCCATTTATACAAGTTATTTCTAGGATACTGTTCTTAATTTCATTAGTTAATCTGCTGTTTATCCACCCATGTTTTCAGGATGTAACTTGAAAGCACTGTCTTCCTGGAAAACACACTTGTTTCAAGGAGACCATCCAACACATAAAAATGTGTACTCATAAGTATGGCCATGACTCAGCATCATAATTAGAATACCCAAAACATGCCAGGTCTTTAGGTCTAAGGACATGCTGAGATTGATACTTGGCTCACTAATTGTGAAATCAGCCCATGACCTAGTGGTGAATCAAACCTAATTTCCATAACAACTAGCAAATAACACATCCTGCAGTGGAATAACTTAGAAAGAATGCTGACGATGATTTTGTACACATTCAAACAATAAAAGGTCTTTGAACCAAATTTATGTTTTCTACTAGTCAAGTAATGTAAGTCATTTCCTAGAAAAAAACATAAGGTTAGCTCAGTGATATTGCCACCTGCCTCACAAGCGCAAGGTCCTTAGTTCAATCCTCAGTACAAAAAAAAGCATAAGGAATTTAGGCACATGCTGAATGATGAAAATTAACTATGTAAATTATATACAGGTAGATATGTTTTAAAATAAATATTACTTTAATAGCCTGTTAGCCATAATGTGATTATATTTGCACAAGATTTCATACTGATTGATATTTACAGACTATGTTCAATAAGTCCTATAAAAAACATCAGTCATCCTATTCCATAACCCTTTTTTTTTTTTTTGATGGTTTGCTATAGGACATCCTGAGGTCATTCAGCTAACAAGTTTCCTGAAGCACTGTAAAAGCTAGAGAATTCAGTTTGAGCGATTGCAGCCATTCAGGTTTATAATATTAATTCCTGAGTCACTTTATATATCTCAAAATTTGTCTTTAAGCAGATTGGAGCTTTATTATTTTGTAATCCCACACAACAAGCTTTAAAAACAAAACACCCCATTAAAAATTTTCATGACCTTTTAAAAATCCCCACAGGTCCTCAATTAAGAAATATTTATTAAAACAAATTAAATTATTACTGTTAAAAATACCTTACATTCTATTCCAGTTGTAGCTGAAGAGCAACGCACTGTCTTGAAAGACATCACTGCTCTGGAACTAGCAAAACAATCTCTTTTGTTCAACACTCCTCTGCACTTCCAGATGCTCCCAAGTACTTGTTTGCAAACACTGTGTACCGTACCCAAAACATTTACATCATGTTACTTCAAAAGTAACAGATTGTACCCTGCCCTCTACATAATCAGTAGAAACAGAATACAAAATGTACTAGAAAGTTTTATAACCCATCAAGATTATTCCATCAGTATACTTATGTTCATAAAGTATAGACTGTAAGAACATAGAAATATGGCATTATATCATATACAGGACCTTCAGTTCTGGAAAAGAATGTTAAAAAGAAGCAAATATACCTATCATGTCTTTGTTATTCAACAGTTATTTGGAGGAGCCTATGAATAATGAATCAGATAAAGTACTTACCTTCATCTCTGGTGTGGGAGACAGAAAGAAAATGTATACAAATTGTATAAGGGAAAATAAAATATCATAACAAGAAAGAGTAATGGTGTTACAGTCTAGATAAGAAGGTCAAAGAATGCCTCTCTGCAAAAGTGACATTATGAACATCAGTGAGGGAAAGATACTAGGAAAGAATCTCTCAGATAGAAGAAATAGCACACTCTAGAGCCCCAATATGGGAAATTAGCATACTAATTCCAAAAATAGTAAGACCGGTAAGATAGGGAATAGGAAACATTGGAAGGTTATCTCACAAAACAGGCAGAGAGTAAACCATGTTAATGGATTTACCATTTATTTTTAGTGAAATGGGAAGAAACTGGACAGTTGTGAGCAGAGTGACATGACATAAATTGCATTTGAAGAGACAACTGTGTAGAAGGAAAATGTAGAAGCAATGACCCAGTCCAGGAGCAATGACTTGAACTAGGGTGATAGCAGTGGAGATGTTGGTAGAATTTGCTGGCTGATTGAGTGTGGAGTATCACAAGATGATGCCTCTATTTTTTACACAGGTAACTAACTGAATAATTGTTTATGGGACTTGAGGACAATGGTCAATCATTTAATCTGGGAGTTGGAGAGACAGTTAAGTGATAGAACATTTGCCTAGCATGCACAGGGGACCCAGGTTCTAGTCCAACTGCCAGAAAGAAAGAAAGAAAGAAAGAAAGAAAGAAAGAAAGAAAGAAAGAAAGAAAGCAAGCAAGCTAGCTTTATTTTGCATAGTTAAGTTTGAGTTACCTAACTAATATTCAAGGGGAGAAGTTAGAGAAACAGCTGAATGGCTACAGAGATTAGAGGCAAGATACTGTAGATACAGAGGGACAAATAAAAATCTTGGAGGCATCTACACATAGGCAGCATAGTCATATGGTCAACTGAAGTCACCTAAAGTGTAATAGACAATGTCAAAAGCTGCTGATAGGTAAAGAAAGATGAGTAAAACATAAGAGCTAAGAGTAAAATGATCTACTAGACTTAGCAAAGTGGAGTTAATTGGCAATATTGACAAGGTAAATTCATTCAGTGGACTATTAGGGACAAAGCTCAGATGAAAGAAACTTCAAGATAGAATGGAGGAGTAAAAATTGAAGATAATGAGTATACATGACTATTAGAAATAGAGGAAAAAAAGTGTGTTTTCCTATTTTCCCACAGTCAACACAACACAGATCACTTCATCCCAAAAATGTGTGGGAATTTCTTCCTACCAACAGTCAACTAATTCTCCTGCAAAAACTAAGTGCCATGTCTTCTAATTCAATTCAATTCTGACACTATCTCCTTGGAGATTACTTGAGAGCCTACAACTTGAGGGCTCAGTCCCCACAACTGTCCCTGCCCTTCAGATGTTTTGTCCCAAGCCTCTAATTGTAACCTTCTTATAACAGACTGGCTATAAATCAAGGTTCCCACAACCTCCTCTTTGGGATCAACTCATTTGCTAGGATGGTTCAGGGAAACTGTCACTTATTTTTACCCATTTATTATAAACAATAGTACAAAGGATGAAGGTGAATAGCCAGAGGGAAGAGATGCACTGGGCAAGAGACACGAAGCCCTTCAAACTCAGACCTTTGGGTCTTTGTGCGGACTTTACTATGTAGACATTATTAATTATATTATTGGCCACTGGTGATCAACTCAAACTTAGCCCCTCTCCCCTCCCTAGGGGGAGACCGCTCAGGTTTGAGGGCTTCCAAACCACACAGTACCTTCTGTGAAGTTTGTTGTGATGGGGCACAAGAAGCTATAGCTAGGAAGAAATCTCTTGTTTCTTCCTTTTTTAAAATATGGATGGGAGCTAGGCATGGTGGCACATACTTGTAATCCCAGCACTAGTGGGACTCTGCAACAAGAAGATCACAAATTTGAGACCAGCCTGGACAACTCGGTGACTTATTGAAACTCTGTCTCAAAATTTTAATAAAATTTAAAAGGGTTGGTGATATAACTCACTGTGAAGGCCCTAGGTTCAACCCCCAGCACAGAAAAAGAAAACAAAAAACCAAAAACAAGAAAAACACCACCACCAACAACCACAACAGAAACAAGAATGGAAATCATCTTACATGAAGGCTCTATCCTGCCCTTCCTTGGGTTGCTGCCGTACCTGTTTAGTAGTGTGGGTGCTCCTATTTGAGGGATACAGATCAAAGCAGTTTAGGATTTGTGGTAGATTAACTAACAGTCAACTTGTAACGCCCAACTGAACTGAGTCAGTGTGGTTCTGGGCGTGGAAGACCCACTAGAGGACTGTTGCCAACAGCATAAAAAAAGAACTGGAGAGGAAGATTGTGGGCTGTTGATTTTCATGGGGAGGCTTGCCTTGGCTGGTTTTCCTGTTGTAAACTTGGCTATTCTCCTTGGAGGAGGAGCTTGGGTCCTCAAGGTTGCTGGCTAGGGCTGCTGTTCGCCTCAGGGGAGTTCTGATCTTCACCTTGATCTTCACCTTCCTGGCTCCAGGGTAGATTTCTCAGCCTGGTAATGCAGATCCTTTACCCCGCTGGCTGGGGCAGGTTTTCTAGCTTCCACCATCAGCCTTTGGGCCTTGCAGGTGAGATCCTCAATACAGACTTCCATGAGACATTGCCTTGAGCTCTAAGCCTCTGGCTGGACTCAAGGAGGAGGTTGCTTGTGGGATCCAGGCCCTCAGCTGAATTATTCAGGTCTCTAGAGTGTAGACTGATCTCTAGCACTCCTTTGCATTTGACTTTTAGGGTGAACATTATAAAATAATTCTATAAATTATGTGTCCTGTCTTAAATCTATTTCCTTGCATATCCTGACTACAACAGGATTATATACCAAGGAGTACCATGCTAAGGCAAAGCATTTTTTCTGAGACAATTAGAAACTAATGAAAGTTAAGTTTCACCAGTGATTTGTTTAACAAATAGCACCATGGGGACCAGCGGTTTAACTCAAAACCTATGACTGCTAAGAGTATGCTATGTGTTCTTCCTGACTCCCTCATTCTCCCAGTCCTACTGACCTCAAAAACCAGCTGCATCATTGAAGCCAGAATGTCACATCATCTCCAAAAATAAACTAGATGAGAGAATAAAACTGTTGGAGATCACCACACAGGCCACAGAGGGAAAAAAAATAAAAATAAAAAAACAAAAAAAAACTTGGGCCTTTAACCTGTTGGTCATTAAAGTGTGATTTACGTTATCTTCCATACTCACCATATGTTCTCTTAGCAACCACAGTAGCCCATCCTTATCACAAGGCCAGGGTGTTTGTGTAGGATGAGGGTACCGATGGAAAGAATGTAACAGTTCCTGGATACACTAGTTACTCATTTCTCAAGGCTGAGATGTTTGCATAGGAAAAGAAAACACCTTTTGAACCTTTTCCCTGGACCAGTGGAAAGTGAGCAGACTGGTCCACCCTCACAAGCTCTCCAAATGAATGAAAAGCTTTTCCCTTCCTTTGTTAACAGGCCAGTGCAGTTTCTCCTTCAGTGCAGTACTTTCTTCAGCTCTTCTCAAGCTGAGGGCCCTTCCTTCTTTTCTCTTCCTTCTCAATTAAAACGTTTTGCCTGTGAGTTCATGCTCTTTGCCTTAGTCCTAATTTCTGCTTTCACTGATATATAGAAGTTCCTTGGTGTCTAGTATCACATCTGGTCAAATTGTTTTGTAAAGCTGTCTCTAACTTCTTACCTTTTTTTTATTTTTATTTTTTTGGTACCAGGGATCAAACTCAGGATCTTGCTCTTGCGAGGCAGGTGCAGGGTCACTGAGCTAAATCCCTGGCCCTTGCATTTCTAATAAGCTGTCTCTAATTTCCCCAGACTACAAAACAACTCCACTTTCTGTGTTCAATAGAAAGTTTTATTTGTTTTCTTCTAAATTTGTTTACTGCAACAAAGTTATCAGAAACAACTTTAACTGCATTGTTATAATGTGCTTACAAATTTTGGTTGTTAGTCTGGAAATGTAAAAAGATGAGAACCAAGGGAATATCAGAAAGTCTGGTATTAGTCCTGAATTCAAAATGCATAATAGAAACATATAGACCTACTGGAGTTTGAAAGCTTTGAACAATCAAACAATGTAGCTGAATGTACTTCCAAGAGTTCCAATAGGTGTATACCTCTAGGTAAGATTATTTTTATGCTGGTTTAGAAGGGCAGCCTGTTTGGAATGCAGACCATGAATACTAACGTCATTTCCAGGGCTTGCTGTCTGCTTCTTCCTCCTGTCCCTCTCTATTGAGGCCCACTCCTTTGCTTCTTTTTACTTTTCTTTCCCCTCTTTTCCTCCTTCTTACTAGTGTTTCTCTCCTTCAGTAGTTAAAAAACTCCTAAGTTTTATCTTTGCACAAGGCCAGCAAAATAAAGACTGCAAAATAAAGAGTGTCCTTTTGCTCCATGTGGCATGCAGGTTTTGGTCTAAGATGTGCAACTAGAAGCACTGTCTCCACACTTAAAGAGAATGGACCTTTTATTCCCTTCCCTTTTTCCACTTTTCTCCATCTTACTTGCTAGTATGTGGTTTTACTATTGAGCCACCTTCTGTCTCTCAGAAGAAGGAAACACATTAGGTATGTCAGAAAGACAAGTTTGCAGGAGCTCACAGCCTCTGCAGACCTCATTCAGTAAA